AAATGAAAACGACCACTATTTAGGACTTCGAATAACACATGGTATGTCATCAGAAATGACAACGACCACTATTTAGGACTTTCAATAACACATGGTATGTCATCAGAAAGGACACCGACCACTATTCAGAACCAACCCAACAGCATGCTATGTCATGAGAAATGATAAAAACCACTGTGGAAGAGATTGGTATAACATCTCCAAAATATCGGCCATGCTTTCGATGCTATGGTTGACGCCGAGATACAAAACTGTAACTAACACATTATACATATAGTATATCCCTTTAAAAGGATTCATGCGCATCCGGTATCCTAAGCAGAGACGGCGCATCGCTCGCAGTTGCTCGCAGGGAGATGCCAGGTCGCTGGTGTGCCCAACAGCACCCGAGGAAAAATTTTGTTTTCGATTTTGAGCTCAAGCCTCACGTGGAGCGCCGGGTCTGGTAGGGAGACGTTGTATTTTGGGGGTACTACTTAGGAAAGACGGTTTCCTGATTTGAGGGCTATGAGCAATGCCAATCTTTGGATCACAATCGAATGTGGAAACCGTTCATCGAGCCATGCTGTCTAACTGACAGGGAAGCGAACCTTGACATTATTTCATAATAGGACGCAGCGAACGGTGCTGGTGAATGCCGAAATAATTATTGACTTGCTAGGTCGGAGCCATGCATGAATATAGCCACATGAACGAAATACGAAATTTACTGGGAATGAGAGGTACAAAGGTAAAAACAGGCGCACTCTAAACCACGTGGAAATCAGAAATCATTCGAGATTGGCCGGTCGCTACGGTAGAGAAGCATGGAAACACGCCCAGGTACTTAAACGCAAGTTGAATGCATGGACACCAACCCACACCACGCAAAACTAAATTTTTCTAATTGGCCTCCTTTGCAACTTGTTCATAGAAACTTATTAATATGCATTATTTTCAGTCAATTGATTAAAATGGAATATTGAAAAGTACAAGGTGCAAATGTGCGCCTTTTGTCTCTTCCACATGAATTTGTGGGTGTGGTGCGCTAGCGTAGCGTAATATTTACATTTCATCTCATTAATGTGAATCGTGATATGGTATGTAATTGAATTCCAAAAGAATAAATAGAATCAAAGTTAACTCAAATAACTTTTGAGTAGCGAATAAGGTTCACGTCATTGCTGCAGTTCTATGACCCTTATTAGTCGTATCAGTAAATATATTGAGATATCATCTTTACCGTGATGGGCATCTGGACTAATTGAAAATCTAGTAAAACACTCATCTCCTATGATGATCTCCGATTGTTTCCAGGAAAGTCTCTTAAGCATTACAAAAACAAAAGTATTTGTACAAGACAATTTCTCATTTCATTTTTTTTTCGATAGAGAAAACAAAAAATAACAGAAAAATAATCACAAAAAACGATAAAGAAATAGAACTATAATACAAGTTTTTGGATACCATCACTATCGATTTGTTTGATAGAAAAAGAAAAATAATTTTGTTGACCAAGTTGAATATTACAATCTTCTAACGTTTGAATTAAATTAAACTATAAATAATAAAGAAAAATTAATTCGAAATAAATCAGTTATTTCTTACTAAATAACCATGTTTATCATAACGTCCGCATCGATCTAATCGTTGATGATACGTAACATAATCAAGATCACAATGAATACCAAGTGAACATGGTAAATCATAGTTAATTACAATGCTAACATTATCTAAATCGATACCATGAGTAGTGGCAGATGTTTGAGCAGATAGAAGAAATATTCGAAAGGAATTCGTACGAAACTCTTCAATAAGTGAAACACGATGTTGATCATTGAATTTAGTAGTTAGAATTCGAGTACTGAGTACAAAAAGAAAAATATGTAAAGGCATTTGAGGATTTATAACTAATAACTACAGAGTAATTACAGATATCTATAGAGTTTTATATTAATACTAAAAACTAGCTGAAATCAACGCATACCTCTATCAAAATCCAAGCATCAGGATTCTCACTGACGTGAGTCATATATTGATTGAAATTCTAGTTCCATGCAAAAAAAATTATCTATAGAGAAAGGACATTACTTTGACAATGAACCTATGTGATTCTTAAGAATAATGGCGAATTTTGTTATACTTCATAAGCTGATTGATAAGAATATGCCTAATCTTACCCAAACCCAACACATCTCTAATATAAATTTCTGAACTGATCTGTTGATTTCTAAGACGTACTGTTTTTTCATATCATTCTTAATTTGTTGATAAAGTCTTTCCGTTGTTTGATCATCGAAACAAAAAATCATAATTTGTTCAGTCATAAATTGTCTTAGAATAGTATTTACGATAAGATCTTTGTCAGTTTCATCATCGCACGTAACATAAAACTGTTCGACATTTAATAAGTGTTGCTTGTCAGATCGTTGTTTAATAAGAATTGAATTGGGTATAAGCTCCTTGGTAAAATTCAGTATTTGTTCAGATAATGTTGACGAATATACAAGTATTTGACAATGATTAGTGATTGGTACACTATCAAAAAGATTCAGTAAAGATTGTCGATAATCATCACGAATAATCATTGTATCGATTTCATCAACAATAAGCATTTCGAGTTGAGAAAAATTTATTAATGATTGAAATGAATCAAATGTATCGATAGTTCCAATAACGATGGGTGTATCGAATGGGGTTTCTATTAACTGAGCAAAAGTAACATAAGTGATTGGTAAATTGGGTAGATAAGCCGACATTTTTTCAATACCGGATCCAACTGTAAAAGCAAGTTCAATAGTAGGCACGATAATTAATACTTGTGGTTGAGAAAGACCATATTGAATACGAGCTAGGATATGTATCATGTAGGAAACCTAAAACAAAACCTTATTTGAAAAATAAGACGTAGAATCTGTTGCCTACCGTTTTTCCAGTTCCAGTTTTTGATTGTACAATCATATTTCTTTGACTCTGATCAGATAATGAATGTGGAAGAATAAGTGCTTGTGTGTTCGATGGACCATTTTCAAAGCCCATGGCATATAATCCAAAAAGTAAACCTGAAGGTAAATTTAACTGTTCGAAACATAATTTATCGCTGTTGCTGAAATCCATTCGATCTGAAAAATAAACGAAAAACTAGACTTTTCTTTGTCTAATTCAACTGGTTATACAAGAGACTTCATCAGCAATACGACTTGCATAAATATCTGATAGTTTCCATTTAATTAATTGAAAACATTCTTTTTGTTTTTTTAAAACACAATTAAATTCTTGATTTTTTAAATCAATATTATTATTGATTGAAAGAATAGTTAGAATTTGTTCAATTAAATTTGATAAATCTTCAATAGATCGATGAATTTGTTCAATTAAAGAACATTTTTCATGTTTATCATTGGGTTTTTGAAGGATTTTATTATAAAGATGTTTATCTATATTTTGTTTATTATCGAATCGCTTATAAATGTCTTCTAAACGTTCATTTATTGTTAATGTAGATTTTAATAAACGTATTTCATTTCGTTGTTGTTCAACAATTGTTTTTGCTGTTAATTTCTTTTTTTTCAATATATTCAATTTCTCTTCTAAATTTGACATCTGAATTGAAAAATTCTTCATTGTTTATTTTTTTTAATCAGAACTCATTCCTATCTATTGTATTAAAGTAATTGAGATGAATTTAACAAAAAAAAAAAAATTCACGAAAAGATAAGTGATAACAGAAAAGAAAACTATGAACAGTAACATAAGAAAATATGTTTATGATTGTCATCAACAAGATAATTATTTATGATTCTATAGCCCCCCGACGGATACACGTTGGAGGACAATTTTGGGTTGTAAATCTGTTGGTGCCAACATTTGTTCAATTGCCTGAGCCATATTAATAGTTATTTGAGGATTATCTAGGAATAATTCTTCACCTTCTTCTTTAACATGAACAGTACGACTTAAAATAATACGTGGAGAATAAACTAAAATATATGTAGAGAGAAAGAAAAAGGTAAAATAAGATTGATATTGAAAGATAATAAATTGCTCAACCCATTACTACAAAAAAAGTATAGTTAAATTTTCTAAATCGTTTTAAGATACACAGTAAAATCTAATAATAGTCCGCGTATAGAAGTCAAACAAACCTGGTGATGAAGGTGGTTGAGCATTGATTTGCTGCTGATTTGATTGATATTCCATTGGCGATTCACTATGAATGAAAAGTCAAGTATTTCTTCAATATGGAATCACTTTTATTATTTACTTACGCTTCGTCACTATTTCTTTGTTTGCTTCTAGTTGTAATTGGAGTAGATGATCTCATGTTGTATTGCGAACTTTTATTACTTTTTCTACTATTCATCTCTGTATTGATTAAAGAATGCGATGGAAATAATGGTGATAATGGAGTGCGAAGACTAGAAGATGAATCAATTAGTCGTCATTTGAAAGTAAAACCTCAATACATGTAACTGAATAGTCTACAAAGTTTGATCTGTTCGTGCTCGATTGTAATGTTCTTTTGCATGGAATTCAACAAGAGAGGAGTAATACTGTTTCTTGTGATATATTCTTGGCAGTTTTAACCAGATATTGACTATCAAGAAATTAATTAAACTCTCAAATAATCTTCATAAATTTGAATAAGTTAGGAATATTCTACGAGTAGTCTGTACTCTCTCTCTCTACTTGTTCCTATACAAATACTATTTTTCAAGTGTACGGTTTCAAATCAGCGAGGAAAAAAATTCTATTCATGTTTCATGTTAAAGAAAAGATTTTGAAAGCGCAACAATAAACTACGGATACTAACTGATTTGTTCCACGCTGTTGATAGGCAGTTGATTTTTCAAGAGATTCCATATATAACGACTCATGTTGCTCTTTAGTTGGAGAAAGTAAAACATCATTGTTTTCTATAGTATCCTATAAAAATGATACATTAATCTATATTTCATCGCTTTGTTTTACTATTTCATAGAATTCTTACAGTCGATGGTTCAGCTACGGCTTGTTTTTTTCTCGGTCGTCCAGGCTTTGATGACGTAGATGAACTTGAAGAACAAGATTTATGGCATCGTTTCAATTTCGAACAACGTGATCGACAATGACATTCTAAGTTTGACCAATCATTTACTGCTGGAGACATCATGTAAACAATTGGTGCTGACAATCTCGAAGGTGATGATCGATTTAATAATGATAAATGCTGTGGACAACAATTTATATTGGACAGCGAAGACATGATTGAACATATTAAACAACAACAACAATTTATTGTAGATGATGAATTCATTGGTTATTTGTTATTGAAAATATTTCTAAGTGACTAAGGAAGCGAATTTAAAACACGTAGCTGTTTGTCAAATCGCCAGGCAAAATTTTCCCCAATTTGTAGAGAGATGAAGTTTCTCTTCTTTCTTTTTTCCCTCTTGTTCAGAGAATGGTCTATCGATCGAACCATTCAGTTAGTTCCATTCATTCCTCTATATTTTTAGCGCACCAATGCATTTGTAATATACAGCCAAGTGAAGGCACAAAATTATGTATATACACATTTTAAGTTAACCTAGGTTGTTTTCTTTTCTTTGTTTATTATCTGTATTACAATTGGTTACTATTTCTGACACGATCATGCTAGACAGTTGTAATTTTAGTCGTATTTTTTCATACGTGTTACTTAGTCCGTACTTTTCTGTTTTTCATTGTTACTTTCTAAGAAAGAGAATGAAAAGACGACTAGATGTGAAGGAAAATAAAACAATGTTTTTTATCTAGAGATATTTATGTAACATGAGCTTGATTGTAAATTTAATAGTGAAAATTTGCTTTTGCTATATCTACAAAGAATAATAATGACTAGCAATTGAAATATTCGATAACAAACTGAGAATTTCTTCTAACTCATAGACATTGCGCACTTTAATTCACAAAAAAAGATCAAGATAAACTTTTTATGAGTCACGGATGTTTTTCTTCTATTTTTTAAGATTCAGGAGTCAAGTTGGTGTTGAAGGCAAGGGGGCGTGAAGGAGAGCGAAGTAGTCGAAGAAAAACTGAAAATAATTAACATCATAGTAATATCGTAACAGCAAAAAAATGAGTTCAAGAGCAAGTGTATGTTACAAATGTAATCAAGTAAGATTTCATTTTTTTTTGTTCACTTAGTTTTTAATTGTTACTTTATGTTTCTAGCCAGGTCATTTTGCTCGAGAATGTCCTGACGGCGATAATAGTGGAGGAGGCGGCGGCGGCGGCGGCGGTGGAGGTAACAGAAAACGATTTTCTTGTTAATGTGATTTATTTTTGAACTTTTCCAAGGTTCACGTGGTGGATTTGGTCGTGGACGAGGTTTGACACAGCAAAAGCTTTCGGTATTTCAATCATTGAATTTATATTTATAGGTTCGTACGGTGGCGGCGGTTCATATGGAGGACGAGGTGGCTCATATGGTCAGTGTTTGTCTTGAATAGATAATCTATTTAGTAATAAGTTCTTTCGAAAGTTTTAAGGGACAAAACCATAAATTATAGATGAAGAACTCGCGAAAAACAACCTTTAAAGTTTTATTTTACTTTTTTTTTAAATTTCAGGCGGTTCAGGTCGTGGAGGAGGAGGCTATGGTGGTGGTTCATCATATGATAGATCAGGTAGTCGTTGGTAAGAGATTATATTGCTTAGTTGTATTCATCTTGTGATCATTGCTTTCAGTTATCGATGCAATCAATCAGGTCATTTGGCTCGCGACTGTCCATCGGATAGCAATCAAAACGTATGCTACAACTGCAATCAACCAGGTTAGATTCCTTTTTTTTCTTCTAATTAATGATGTTCTATTAAACATTGATTTTCTCTTTAGGTCATATAAGTCGTGATTGTACGGAACCACGTGCAACTCAATTTCGAGGTGGTAGCGGTTTCCGTGGTGGCCGAGGTAAGCTTTGATCGTGTTTAATGTTTGATTTGATATTTTAAACTTTACTTTTCTTTTGTAGGTGGCGGTGGTGGAGGTAATTGTTATCGATGCCAAAAGCCAGGTCACTTTGCTCGCGATTGTACCGAACCTGATACACGTGATGGACACGGTGGCGATTCAACAAATCACGCTGATGATCGCGACGATTAAACATTAGATAAAGAATGAGATATAAACAATCTAAAATTTTTTATCAAATGAACATCAACAAAAAGAATTTCAATAAGACTAATATTTCTCTAGCTCCTGTATTTCGTTTTTTTTTTGATTTTTGTTGTAAGTTTCTTTCGTTTATTCGTATATATACTTAAGCATGATTTTTGCTAGAAACATCAAGAGATGAGGCAAACTAAAACGTATTTTATTAGCGAATTTAAAGTTATCTATTAAAATACGGGTTAGTTTATTCATTTGTGTGAAGTTTTTTTTTCATTTATGTATTCCGCATTTTTGTGTTCATGGTTTGTTGCTTTTTTTCTGATACTGCTATTGATGATCTTGTATGTACTACTGAAAAGTTAGAAAATACAAGTAGACTTTGATGCGTGTCGGTGAAACTCCGACGAATACTCTTGTCTGTTGATAAAATATCGGAAAGCTGACGCATACCAGGCTAGCCCAATATGGTTTTTATGGCTTGTAATCTATAACGATAATGTAGGGTGTCATGAATGAAAAATGGTCTGACATATTTGATTGAAGGTCATTTGATCAATCCTTAGACAATTATCGTTGCGATTTTTTTCTAATCGAAATTGTAAAATATAATCTTTTTTTTTATCGTTGTCGAAGGGCATCCTTGAATCTTACTAGTATCTGCGCACATGAATATTAATCAAGCTTCATTGAAAAAAATGGTCAAAATTTTCAATCTTTAGTCGATCGTATTGTGAGATATATTACAACAGTGAAGATGTGTCGAGTTTTTATTTTTTGTTCTATAGGCACAGCAGCTTCTCATAATGGAAGAAGTTTTTTCTGAGATAATAATATAGTGTTCATTAGCTTTGGAACTTCTTCGATAGTACAAGTTAATATTGTCGAAAGAATCGGAATTCTAGATAACTAAAATGACGTCATGAACAGATGCTTGAAAAATAGTCTATTTATTTACAGCTGATCTAAATTTTGAGCGATGAATTTCATTCTGTCGACTTGGAAAGTATTTAAGATTTCTTAGAATTCATCGAAGCTTATCTAGATTCTATTGATTCTTCTGTGTGTATCATTGTGACACCGAATTACTAAATTCAAGTCATCAGTGTTTTTTCATATGACTTGATGGAATCAAAATCAATGAATAATGCATTGCTTCATATTATTTTATTTATTTATTTTATTTATTTGTATTGTGTTATACAATTTAAAAAAGGGTTACTTCTTAGGGCTTTTCATCTGATGAAGGTGAAGATTCATCTTGATTTAGAAACTTTCGATTGAGAATACTATTGAGAATTCTCGCTTGTACGATTCGTTGTGGAAATAGTTGTTGTTGAGAAGCCTTTTCTTCATCACTATTCATATCATCATGAATGTCTCTAGTAAACCAAGCATATTTGTAACCAGTATCGGCCGATCGTTGATTGCTCGTTAGGTGTAGAGGTGTTGGACCATGATTATAAGGTCTATTGTAAGCAGCTAGCACAGCATTTAACGCTAATAGAATAAATATCAGTTGGATAGTGTTTCGAATTCCTGATAAGATCATTGTTGTAATAACCAAAAAAGAAAATCAACTTGTTGGAGTTAATTTCACAAAGTGTATGTGAACAAAAAAAGAAAAATTGTATGATCTTATATTACTGGGAGTTTTGTTATCATAGAAAAAATAATCCGGAATAAATATCAAATACAATAAATAATAATTTATTTTCTGTCTATTGACACGTCAGTCATTTCTTTTAATATAGAATTATCATGGAATTGTAATTGGAGAGAATTGACTAAATGACAGAAACGTAAATATACATTACAATAAAATATGACATAAAAGTTTATTTCAACTAAAGTAAACTAATACGAACGTGTGTCATCACACCAAATATTTATCGGATTTTAACTTCATAGAAATTTATAATAGAAGCTCATCTAAAAAGAAAGAATTTAACCCTATTCTTAAGCGACCCACACACAGTATCCTTGTAGAGCAAGCTGATCGTATATCTGAGATTTTGGTTTTATAAGAAAAATGTTTATTTAGGTTATGATTGATAACATAGTTATACAAGAAAATACAATTACACTAATATATAAATCAGCAGGCGCGCACGTGTTCAAATGTTTCAGCGTCTATATATGAGTACAGTTGTATTTGACATGTCAAAATTTAATAACCATAAACGAGTATCAAGGGCTGTATGTGTCAACTGACAGATTTGCATCTGACAGTAACCGACGGGAGATGAACGTAATTATATACTGAACTCAAAACTTTGCATGTAGAAGCAGGCTTTAATAATATATAGAGTCTTTCTTAAAACGATACCTTCATGCATTTATATGCAAAAAAGTGATGTATATCACATCATTTTTATTTAGTATTTATCTAGTTATGCCAATGAATGCTTGACTTTGAATGTAGCTAAATATTAGAATAAGCAAGGATAATGAAATCCCCCCCATGAATAAAGATCTTTCAGATTATTACACACATCGCAGCGCTTGTCGGGATTCCAGCGAAAAAATTATTTGCAAAGAATGTTCCCACGGAATTTATCAGGACACTCCGATATATGGATTCTTATGAAAAAACAAAAATCATTCATATTCTAAGCGATTAATAAAATGCTTTTGTAGATCTTTTATTAGCATAAAAAAATATTTTGATTACTACATGGCATTTTCACCAACAGTATGCTTCGGATTAAAAGTCTTGTGACGATTTTTCAAATGAAATCGATTGTGTATTTTTCGTTGATGATTTGGTTTCATGTTTTCATCATTGAAGTTGTCATGTGTATCTCTTGTAAACCAAACATATTCATTGTCGCTGTCGATTGAACGTTGTTTTAATAGTTTGTAAAGTTGTTGATTGGCATTACGCGCTCCGTATGAACCAAATATAGTATTGACTAGTAACACAAATACCAATAATCGTAAGATATTGCAAATCATTGATACGATTCTTGTTTTTACAGAAAATAAAGATTAAAATGTTAGAAGGAACAACTTACTTCTTGGAAATCGTATGTAGGAGTGTCATGTTTCACTTGAAATAAGTTAAGTTTTTAAGCAGATAGACAGGGAAAAGAGAAGAAGCATGCATCTGACATGTGAGCATGATTCCATAGTAACAGACAAGTCATTTCGCTGATCGACAGTCTTGTCTCCATATTTTTCTTAAAACGTTTGTTTCCCTTTAAAATCATTCCAGCCAATTTTTTACATAAGGTTCATCTAGAATTATTCTCTGGAAAGTTCTATATTGATCTACTCGGTTAATATGATATGTTCACAGTGAAAACAACAAAACATTTTTAAAAAGTTATTCATAAAAAAAAAATGGTCTGCTACTAAAAATTCACAAGTGTAATTATAAATTCATATTCATCATATTTACATCTTTGTCAATGAGTTGTGTTATAAAAGTGCACCTTTTCATTCATCGGATGTTTCCTTGTAATTTATATCCTAATTGACAAGTATACTTTTGACTCGTTTGATGCAATGGCATTCACGACGATAACATGCGATTTTTGTCTTTGAAATCAGGAAGAAATTTTTGTTTATTCACTCAAAAATTTGAAAATAACAAATCGAATAACTTGGGTCGCTAATTTCTATTTTTAAGAAAAAACAGAGAAAGATGCTTTTATTATTATTTAAGATACAGAAAAATTATTCAATTGGCCGCAACCAATGATCATGACGACAAAAAAAGAACACCAGATTAAACGATAGTATAATAACCATATGTACCAATACCACACATACTATTCTTATTACGTGCTATTTTAAAATAGCCGCTTAAGCCCCAACTTTCGCCCCATGAATTTCGAACCACTAAAAATGAAAAAAAAATCAATTCTCTTTTTCAAACAATCCAATTAGTTACATACGCCAATAATCTTTTCCATTTTCGGTTCCATATCCAACAATAGCAATAGCATGATCGACTTGTTTTGAACATGCTGGTATATCAATGATGCCAGCTCCACGTCCACTTGAAGATCCACCATAAAATTGTAAATCTGTGGTTGTATGAATAGCTGCAGCCAATGGTCCATATGTACTTAAAGCTTGTTTCATACCTTCTTCGTCACCTCGCATCGTATTTCCGTAACCTCTTATAGCACCGACTTTGGATGATCTTGCATTACATGATTGTTGTGTAGTTTTATATGGATAAGATGAATCAGATGAAAGACCTCGATGCTGTTTGATATACTCTAATGTTGCACCTAAATAACCACCCGAGCAGCCATTATTTGATGAACAATCAATTAATTCTTGTTTTGATAATTTGATCTTTGAACCAGTCTTGAATGCAAGTGTACCTTCGACAGCTGCTGTAACAGCAAATGCATAACATGATCTACATAAAGAATATATGGATAAAGAAGGAATTTATATGATTTAAAGTTAAAACGAACCCACAGCGACCTTGATTTTCAATTGGATTCATATATTGTCTATAATCAACAGTTCCTTTTGCTGCTACAGGACTTGCTGGTCGTTTAGTGACAGTATTTATGCGTGTACCTGATGGATAATATCCCGGTACAGAATATTTCGATGAACTACTTGGCTTTTTATAACCGGGAAGAAATTTTTCTTTAAGTTTCTTCTTAATTTTCTTCTTAACAGAATCGACTAGAAAACGTCGCATACGTTGATTCATTTGCTGTTCAATATTATCACCGGCTGGTTTTTCACCTTGCCCATCTTCATTCAAACCGGTTAGTGTTTTACGAAATTCATCTAAGCTCATATCACCATACTGATTTAATTGTAATTTAAATGATTTCTCTCCTTCGTCAAAACGAAAATTTTCTTGAATAATTATTTTTAAATTATCAATAAATTTCCCTAAACGTTCTTTTTCTTCATTAGGTGATGTGTAATTTTTGCGATAATATTTCTTGTAGAGTTTCCATAGTTTTATTGCATATTTATTATCTTTCAATACTTCTAACTTGTCCTGCAATTTCTTTGATAATTTCGTCATTGCTTTACCTATTTGTTCATCGATAATCTGAAAATTTTACGGTCTATTGTTCTTTTAAACAAAGAGAGTTATAAATATTTTCTTACATCTTGAAACGATTTCCCATCTGTCAACAGAGCATCTTGAGTCTCAACAATACAACTTAAGATGAATATACCAACAAATAGCACACGTAGCATCGTCGAAAAAGTAAAATCAATTTGAGACAATAATGATTACAATTTTTATTATATGATCCCTTCTCTTATTTTATCTCCTGTCTTATCGATGCATATCCGTTTTCATTCGGAAAGAAATTTTATCTACTGTATGTGTATATCTTGCTTTTCTTTGTTTACATTTATTTAGTATTGAAATTTACCATTCAATCAATGAGACTTGCTCTTTATATTGTTATCTTTAATGACCGGGGTCAAAATGAAAAAGAAAAAGAAATATGCTGAACATTGTTTTTTTTTATAGACAACTTGTTCATACATGCTATAGACATATACGAATGATAAGAAATTTATCGATATCATATGTTTAAAACTTTGGAATGTTGATAAAAAGATGAAGATGTTTTCACTCATCTATTTTTTTTCTACCGAGTATTTCGTTAGATTCCATCATTTGGTATGCAAAAGTCATTCTCTTATACAGATACTAAATTGTTCCTTCTTTCAATCAAAAATAATCGATGTCCAAATACAAAGTCCTGAATAGAATTTTTATTCGATTGAAAACTGTTACTATTTTATTTTATGTATTTAAAAGCTACATTTTTGAAGTATTCAAAAACAAAATAGAATATTTGAGATTAATTTAATATTTCATATCAAGATCTCGATCAGTCAGTGTACTCAGCTTTGTAATAATCTTATTAGTATGTCTTAGTTATTTTCTTTGCCTAAAACAAAATTACAAAAAATACATGTTCGTAGTCAAACACAAATTGATATTTTGTAGATTATACGATTGTAATGTCGTTTTTCTATATGCAAAGTCAATGTAAGGAATAAATGTTTGAAGCCAATATTGCTATACATGTTATAATTGCCTGTAGATTTTATTTTTCATTTGATTCGATGATTTCAGTAAAGCAGAATTATATAAATTTTTATCAACGGGTAAAAAAGGAAGTATATAGTTTCCACATAAATTACATGTTATTACATTCTGCACATGAAAGAAGAAGAGAACACATCAATATAATCGAGGTATACTTTCCTTAGATCCATACACGGCTAAACTGTCAGATAAAAGTTTGTTTCCATTTATGACTGATCAGTAAGCCATGTAACGATCAATGGAAATATTGTTGATAGGAAATATTTGTACATATACGCATATGTACATATCTATACTCACCTGATCGACTGAATATGGTTATAAAAAAAAGTTTTTTTTTTCGCCACAAGGAGACTACTGTCGCCTATCAGGACCATAATCGTAATGACAATACAAATAGTCGCGCACGACAAAGGCAACGACTCTTTTGCTTCTCGCTCTCTTTCTCTCTCCCTTTTTTGGCTATGGAGATATCTTACTACGATACTTGCGTTTGCAAACATAGAGGCCATGGCCTTCGAGCTTCTTTCTTCTTCCCTCGCGCTTGCCTTGGTTGTAATTGCTTTCGCATCTTGCGTTACTGTTTCTTGCTTACGCACAAATGCTAAGGTGGTGACAAACATACGAAAAAAAGTAATACAAAGACACTTTTATAGTTATTCGCTGTTTTTTTTCTGACTCTTTTTCTCGCTTACACTCTCTCCGTCTCTCTCTCTCTCTCTCTCTCTGTCTCTATTTCTCGAAACGCTTTCTCTCTGTTTTTTGTAACAAAAAAAAAGAAAAAAAATCTAATCGTAGATAATAGTTACTGGATACTCGTATATCGATGATGTTCAAAACAAATCATTGGTATTAATCGAAAGATTGAGAAAGAACAAAGGAAAGTTCAAGTTAATTCTTACGTGAATTATTCTAACAGCTGATGTTACGACTATTACTATTAACAAAATTTCGACTCAACCTGTATGAAGAAAAAATAAAAAGAGAGAAAGAGTATGTTCTTTACGCGAAATGCGGTGCATACAATACCCAAAATGTTTGCACCAGTCGCTAACAGCGTTTGCTCTATTCTCCCCCTTTTTTTTACGTATGCGTATTCGAGTGCACGACTTACGCTAATGCAATCATTTTTTTCTCTGTCTCTTTTCTTTTCGTGTCTTTGTGCTCTCTGCTTCTCCTTCTCTCTCTCTCTCTCTCTCTCTCTCTCACACGCGCACACACATATGCTTGATGCAGGCATGTGTATGCATGTCCTAATTTCGTTTTTGTCGTATTCTTTTTCTTATGCATTGCACACAAACGATGGCGACACTCGAACTGAGGGACGAAATCTTACTAAAATGAAGGAAGAATGTGCAAGCATATGCGTAATCGTATATAGGAGTAGACAGAAAGCCTTCGATGTTTCTCTGTTGTTTTTAATGCTTTTCTCTCTTTTTTTTTCATTCAAGGCCATAGTACAAATCGAAGACACTCAATAAATCAAATAGCATATATAGATATATATATTTAATAGAAAAATATACAATAAATATCAGATGCTTTAAACCAAAAACCAACAAAAAACCTATGGGTTCTCTCTCATGTTTCTCGTAGGAGAAAAATAAAATTGAATGAATATTGAAATTAATCACAAAGGATTACTTACTCATAGGTGACGATATTCAAAAGAAAAAGTACGAATCTGGATATTTTCTCTGTCTCTAACCATCGGTCAATATTGAATAGATCATCTATTGACATCAGTCAGATCTATTGTTGCCAACAGAATAGATCGTATCGATAGTCAGACAAAAAACTACAAGAAAAAAACGGCTCTTACCTTTTTGCTGTATCGAACTTTGATTTCTTATCAGAAAAGCGATACTGATCATATGAGTGTTGATTAGGCATCTAACATATGATGCAATGCAACTACAAAAAGAAAAGAATGCCTGTACAAAAAGGCAAATGACATTTACATTTACATTAGTAAGTGCATGCAGCAGCCTTGTTATTTGTTCATCTCAGCATCTGACAATGTACATAGACAAATGATATGGACATTTGTGGCGTGTAGAGGTTTCACCCTTACAACGAGATTCGCTTTTTTGACGAATGGCTGTTGCTCTGTTGGGTCACTGACAGGATAATCTGTGCGTTGTATTATCCATCGTTGATGACACTAAAAGACTACACCTCATCTCGTCATCGTCAACGTCATCGACCAAGAATTGGTGATGGATATATATATATATAGTATCAACACTGGTTTCCCCCTTTGTTATGCCCTTGTTTAGCAACGAAGGAATCCTCGGATGATGGACAATCTAATTCAGAATCGCAATTTCAGATCTATCAGATGAGCCTACTGAAAATATACTGATCCTTGGTTTATTTACCAATTTTCTTTTGTTGAAAGGAATATTTACGAGCAGAACATTTCATGAATTTCAATAATAAATATTACATAGAGACGCGTACTTGATGCAATTTGCCGGCTGGATGATAATCGGTTCGTCACGCTGTGCTTTTATCCTCTTTATCCTACGTGCGCATATGTCGATGTATGTCCGCTCCTCTTTCGTTGACCTCCTATTCGCGATGCGATAATCGAAGTTTCTTTTTCTTTTTCTTCTTTTTTTTTTGTTAGCCTCTTACAACTAGTTCATGAAGTTGTTATAATAAACAGCTAGACAGACACACTCTTTGCTGCAGCATATGGTTTTTTTTGTACTGTCAACGATATAATTGTATTTGTCTTTATTGCTCCAATGGATATTATTGTGTCACACATGTTGCATGTCATACAGTGACCGGCTACAGTGTACATAGAAAGCGATAGGAGAAAATACAGACTTCTATTCGGACAACTTCACAATAACTGTAGCAACAACAATCATTAATCATTCTATCACACATATTTTATCGGTGTTATTTAATCAATATATAAGAATGAAAGAACGATATCTGTCTCGTCATATTAGCATGTAAAAAACGAATGATTCCATTTACTTGCTTTGTTTATTTATTACACGTGTAATCAATCTTTATTTTGCCCCTAAAATTAGGCGTCAATAATAATATGCATTTTTATGATTCTATGAAACATGAATTGTCGCCTTTTGTTTTGAAGATCAGTAAAAGCACGTAGCATTGACTCTTGATGTATGATAGTACCACAATATGCACTAAGTTACTTGTGAGTACAAAAAAATAAATAGACTCAGCTGCTTCCACATAAAAAGTGTTGAAAAAAATTGTGCATCGAATTACATAAGGTGAATCAGTACAATTTAGCATGAATATGCAAATTGAATAGAAAGGAGTATTAGCAAAAATCCTTCTCAATATGCTAAAAAGAAAAGAATTACATTGGTTTTTCTTTTTGGATAGCAGTCCATGTGTTGCTAACCTTGTTTTAATGATCAATTAACATATTAAATAATATTACGTGCGCTGTTTCTGTTTCTATCCAAGAGGTCTCTCGTTCTGTTTTATTGTTGCTTATTTTTCTGAATCAGAAAATTTCATCACAGAATTATTATCGTAAAGTGAGACCAGTAGGTTAAACATTGTTGAAATTCTCCAGTTTGGGCTTCTCTGTTTGGCAATTCAAACTAATGAAAACAAAAATATTATTTTTTCTAAACCAACGAACTATCTCTTTCTCTCTCTCTGCATGAAGAGAATTCTTTCAGGATACAACTGAATCAAATAGAGCATGTGTACAGGACGCCATTATTTTATCGATAGAATTGTCTCATTTCCTATTCTTGATTGAAAATGAACTAACACTAACCTCTGACCCATTACATGCGTTCGTCTCTCAATGTTTTTCTTCCATTCTACCTAGCCAAGAGAAACATTTCGTTCGCATGAATTCCCATCGGTCAAACGTGATAGTTCATTCTGTGAAAAAATCGAATTATTAGTTGAACGTTTTCTTTTTGTTCACACGTTTAAAAGTATTCAACATCAACCAAGAATGATTCGCATGACATTGATATTGTGCTTAATATTTTTTATTGAAACTAATGCAAGACGTCATCGATGTATAGATAGTGGTGTTCCATTTCCGGAGAAAATTTCCCGCTCACCCATTATCGTTTATGGCGCATCAATAGAAAAACAAATCTATCTTCAATCGAAGACTGAATTGCTCTTTAATGTTACACTTCAAGTTGACTGTATTTTCAAAGGAGAAGATGTTGAAAAGGAAATAAAAATTACTGAAGCAGGTAAGACCAGTTCATTTTTTTCTTTATTCGATTATAAAAACATAGAGCTGCGTTTTTGTTTAAGGTATTAAAGCAGACCATACAGCTTGTCAATCGCTTGAGCAGGGTTCATATTATATCGTTTTTCTTGAAAAATGGGGAACAAATACCAATAGTTATCGGCCAGTGGATTTTCATGAAGTGATGTTTGACAATATGACAAATGAATTATTAGAAAAAACATGCCATTTAACACGCATTTCGCCATTAAATTCAACGATCAATGAATGTCCGAATGTAGCAACACATCAATATTGTCCTCGTAAGTTTTTAATGAAAGATTTATTTTTGTGTTCTATGAAAATCGTTTTCGTGGATGATAGATGATGACAATGATGTGAGCATAACGTCAAGTGAAGAATATTCAAATAATGTATATAATTATGAAAAAACTTCTAATTTCGATGATGATAGAAAATCCAATCATCAATCACATGTAATAATAACAAAAGATGGATCTGTAGCAACGCATAGTAACATTCATTCAAGAAATGATGCACGTTCATCAGCTACAAAGTGCATTTCATTAATTATTATTATGATCATGATTAGCTATGATTTTGAAATGTTTAATATTAGTCAAGACTATGTTTATTCTTATTGATTTGTTGCTGTATGTTGAATAAAAATCTATCGATCCGTTCGTTTTATGTGAATGGTTATATCATATTGTATCAAAAAAGGATTCTGGCAATTCTACTCAATATGGCATGTGTAGATTAGATTAGTCACATGATGATGCATAAGACTATTGTTTTGGTTCAGAAAATATTTTCGAAAGTGAACTTCGTATTTGTAAAAGAAAATTTTCCCGGTGCATATGATAGTTATCAAACTGTAGCATTTCACTAATTTTAAATATAAGCGTTGTTGTCAATCGTACATAGAGAAGTGCCTAGTTTTTCTATTCGACTTTATTGATTGCCCTATGGGCGCAGAGCTTTTGTAAACTGTCTTTGAATAATTGATCTGAATAGATGGTGGTTTTCGGTAAGAAAATTTCGAATAGCAACTCGACCGAGATACTCAGAGTCTCGATATGTAACATACAAAATACTTCCTCCAAGCATACATTAATAAATTCTGCTATGATACTTTGGTAGAAACTGGAAAATGTTTGAGATTACTATGAATTGCTATTTCAAACTCAATATGAAAGTACTGATCTTTCCTTTATAAATCTATATCTAATCGTAAACAATCTTTAATGCAACCAGAAGAAAGTATTTTAATGCAGCACTACAGCCTATCCTCAATTGAGAAGAAAAAGTTTTCATCGTAAATTATTATTCTTGTGATTCGATTGAAAATATAATATTTTCTTTTACATCAACAATTGTCTTCTTTTTTTTTTCAATTCGCAAACAATAGACACACACAAGTTGATGTTACAAAAAAAATCGATAGATGACAATTATGTTATGTGTGTTAACAACTGATGGACTCTAATCGAATAAACCGAAGCCCTAGGAAAAGAAAAGAAAATAATGAACATATTTAGTTGCAAAACAAAATATTTAAATCTTACCATATCTTCGCCTTCGTCGGAGTCTTCTTTTTCGGGTTTCTTTTCTTCTTTCTTGGCAGCTTCTTTACCACCCGCAGCTTTCTTATCTTCAGCAGCGGCTGTTGTGGCAGCAGGTGCGGATGCAGGAGCAGCAGCTGGGGCTGACCCAACATTTCTAATTAAATCTGTGACTTTGACACCTTCTAATGCACTGGCGAAAAGACCTGGCCAATATGATTCAATTTCATAATTGGCAGCTTTTAAGATCGCTGCGATTTTATCACCTTTGACATCAACATTATCATCAGCTAAGATAAGTGATGCATAGACGCAGGCGAGTTCATCGTTGCTTAAGGTCATTGCTGATTATTTTCTTTTTGTTGGTGATGATAAATATAACCGAGACTTTAATCTAAAATAGAGAAATGATTTTATTTTTATACATATGTTTATTATTTAAACAAATCAATTATAATTAAGCGATATTAAACAAGCATAAGAAAATATATGTGATATGACTATAAAAATAAAAAAAGTACTGTTGATTTTTCCGTTTTCAAAATATTTATAACGTGTCGGACGGAGTTGCTTAAGATAGATGAAGCAAGTTATTGCGAAATTTCTTCATCTTCTCCAATAGAAATTTATTTGTTTTTATTGATAATAACGGCAATAATAATTTTTCCATAATTTGATTTGATGGGTACTATTTACTAGTAAAGTTTCATTGGAATTTTTATTATAATTTTTGTTTATATAAGCTTGACGATCACGTAAAATAGGTGTCCATACTGACATTGTATGTTCAGATAATTTCATATCTGTTCGTAGTTTTTCAGAATTTTGTAAAAATGTGCCATACTGACAGGAATACAAATAATCAGCTATCGTTAATAATAATTGTTCGTTAATTTCAAAGGCAGATGGAAACTAAAAGAAAAATTAGTTACTCAGTGAGGATTCTTATTTTTCTCAAGGGCCGATTTAACATTTACTGTGCACTCTAGTTTCTTCTCATAATAAATTCTATATCGATCCTACAATGCCCCAAAAACAAAAGAAGATCCGAAATCAGTATGTAAATATTTTTCTTTGTTGCCCATTGAATTATCTTTTTACATCCTAATCAGTTACTATTCGTTCTCCTCTAGACAACGGGTGTCTACTCATATTTCAAAAACTACTTTACCTGCTGTAATAACTGATATGTACAGTCAAGAAATTGAATAAAAACAGGAGATCGTTCGGATTCGATTTTGTCTCCATGGCCAATACGCTAATTAGAAAAATGTTATAAAAAGATAAGTTCTTGTCCTTAAATTATACTTACACATAAAAACTTATGACCAAAACTAACCCATTCTTTTTCTATTAGAATCATAAAGCCTTTTAATGTTCGATAGTATCCATCGAGCATCAGCATTGCTAATGACGTTAACTATATATATGGAAAATTAAATATTAAAAAGGAAAAAAAAATTTTTTTTCTTCTATTTACTTGTGCTGTTCGATCCCATCCATCTGAACAATGTACTAATACTGAACGCTCATCATTAAAAACTAAAGAAACTAATCGATTTGCGGAAGTCAATATTGCCTGGAAAGGAAAAAGCAGTTTTCAGAATAATAAGTCTCATATTAAATTTAATACATACGCGAATATGAAATAACCAATTTGAATTTTCTAAATCATTTAACCATGTTTTATCGTCTTGTGGCGCAGTTCGCATACTAATATGTAGTTTATTAAGACTGAAAAAATAAAATTTTCTCAACAACAAAAAATGACTCGTTAGTCGTTTTCTTTACCTTTCCCTCATAACATGAATATTTTGTATATTTTGAAATTCGAGTCCACACTCGGGATAGTCTTCATATCCACCGCCCTGTGCTTTATTGGCTATGGCATTTACTTTAGGACGTGCATCAAAAATAAATAATTCTGAACCTTTTCTTAAATTCGTATTTGCTATTTCATGTAAATAATCAATATCATGTTGACATTTACGGTTCAGACCAGTCAACGGTTGACTTGCACGTGTTATTGTTGCAAAAGTTGAACTAGAATACCAGCTGAGAACCTATTAAAACAAACGTTTAAATGATAGGAAAAGAAAGCGAATTGTTTAATACATACGGGTATGCGATTTCGACTACGAAAAGTAGCTACATATTGCAATCGTGATGCTTCGAAATTAGATGGAATGACAATTGTATCAGGATATGTATCACAAAATTGATAATATTTATTTATTTCAGTGTCGATTTTCCAATGTGAATCACCGGTTCGTTGAATACCCTAAACAAAGATGTTTAAATTTAAGGAAATTATTCAACAAGAGTTAAACTCATCAAGTAACTTACCATTCTTGTATACTCCTTTATTTTGTTAAACAATTTCCAACCTTCATCAATCTCATTTGGACACATTTTCTGCTTATAATTCCAAGCAAAGAAAGACTGAAATTAGAAATAATACGTATAAATCAGCTGTTTATATTTATAGAGTGAAATTAAGTTTATGAAAACCTCAACCAAACATTCGGCTTATGAGTAAAACCTTCTTGTTTAAATTTTCTCGCGAAATAATGATGCCAAGGTAAGTCGTACGAGTTAAGAAACAATTATTTTACAGATATTGTTACAGAATACTGTGCCTTCTCAACATCAATCATCACAGGAAAGAACTTTTTAGTTTGGTTTAAAACTATTATAGATTTTTAAAAAAGTCTCGTGTGAATACAACACAGACACCCCACGTACTAATAACAATCCAGATGAGTCATCAACGATAAAAAGAAAAGTAAATTTGAATTTATTTATCTTACACTATAAAACGCTAGTGGTTTTTTAATATCTCCTTTACTAATTGAAAATGGAAATGCCAAACGATTCAAATTATCAAACAAATTGCGTCGTTGATGTTGTTCTTTACTATTGGCAAAAAAAATATATCGAAGATCCTATTCCAAGAAAAAAATTTTATTGGTTTAATAAGAAATAGTTCTATTCTTACTTTACAGGTAAGTCCAATACCATAAGCAGCACTATCACTTATATTACTACGCGTTTGTCCACCGATTTTTTCTATCTGACCTATCATTCCTATTGGAACGTTAACAAGAATCTTCAAAAAAACAAAAAAAAAGAATAATCAAAAACAAAAATTAAAGATCTGTGTCTATACTTGAATAGGATCTGGTGATTTTGTAACAAACAATAATCGATATTTGGTTACAATTAACTCACCACGATATGGTACTTTTTCTTGACTATGATAAGTTACATCTAATAGAGACAATGTTTAACTTTAACGTTGAAACTTCGATTTTTTTTACATTCTCTTAATTTTACATCTTCTTCACCAGATAAAAAATTCATCGGCAACGATAAATCTTTTGTAAATGCAACCGTTTGCTGTTGTTCCGGAATCGACATCGTTAATTCCTGTTCAGATTTCGATCCTCGTAGACCACCCTAATCAATTAAAATAATTACATTAATCATTGGTTTAAAATAATGAAATTTAGATAAGAAAAATCTGTAATCTGTGCAAATATGAAATACATACGTATGCTAGAGGTAGCAAATTAAGTACCTGTAACGAAAAACGAATCAAATTATGATATTAAAATTTGCTGTTTAGCACTTACGTTGGTGGCTGATGATGCGTTTTCATATGGTGATGAAACAATATCATCATTTAATGGTAATTTTGATACATTATTATCTTTAGCATTTGAACTTAAACGATCGGCATCATTCGAGGTTGGTTTGGAACGTACAAGTGTTGTTAGTGATTGTAATGGAATAGATTCATGACTGTTTGAACGTTTTAATTTGTTCATTTTATCACGATCAGCATCGCCAAACATATAACAATGTTTCTGGCTTCTTTTTTTTTAATTCAGTAAAAAGATCCGCGATAGTTAAAAATATGAATGGATGTAGAATATAAATAAATATAAGTATGTATTATATGGAGAGAAACGTTATTGGTAAAGGATTATGATTATTGAGAATCTTTTTTTTTCAAATAACAGATTAAAAAAGTTTTTCTATTTTTTAAAATGAACGTTATTTTAGATTTTATTATGTTGAAAAAAACAATTTTCTAAAAGTGTTTTTCCGCCTGAGGTTACATTTATGAAAAGATGTCGCTCATCAACATAGAACATTCAAAGGATGTCACACAATTAATTTTGTTCATCGAAATCTCAATCGAAACACCGGTCGTCGTTGCATAAACACTGGTGGCGGCCGAATTGAAATAACGTTTTGTGGTCTACGAAATTGACTAGCGATCATAAAACGAGGATTTATTATCATTCGCACTGCTGGTCTAGATGAAAACAATCGTTGAGTTGTTGTTGGTTGACGTTGACGAGTTGTTCGACGAAATTGAATCTTTCTTTGAGAAATTACATCCAAATTATTGCCTGATGATGATTGATAAATTGTCGATGATACTGGCTGATGATCGTTGTGTGATCGTTCAGATGAAAGTGATGATAGTGACAAGGAACTGTTATGACGAGATGATGGTGGAGCAGATCGATTGCGAACACGAGGTAGAACATCATATCCAGCTTGTGTACGAGCATGATCTACTGCTTTGAAAAAACTATCTGGTAATTCATAGTTCAACGTATCAACAGATAATTTTGATTGATCGGTTATGTTTTCTTGTATAAATTTTAGCGTTGAGTTTAATATACGATGTATAATATTAGTTTTTTGCTCGTGACTTCTCGGCATGTTCAACATCGTCGTTGTAATTGCTTTTATTTATACCGATAATATTATCACTTCCTTTTTTCAAATTCAACTTGTATCAGGAGTTATATTAGTATATCTAGTAATAAATATTAGCTACTAACAGCGACAGGAACAACTGCACATTCAGGTGGTCATACAAGTTTTCTTTTGCATTACATTCGTCTTCAATATATAATCAATGAAGCGCGAATGTTATCGAATATCATTATATCAAGTTCAAAGTATGTATACTCATAGTTTCATTTCATAGATATGTAAAAAAAACCTAAACAAAAAAAAGAGGAAAATGTCAGCATGCAAAATTAAGAATGTTTGAATGTAACCGATTGTCTTTCTACACGAAAGACATTAAACGTAAGTAGTATTTTACACATCATAGAAAAAGATTTAGAAAAGGAATCTAAGAGCCAAGGTGTATGTTGTAATGTTCAAGTTCATTTGGCTTGCTTTGTTGTGAAGGCAGATGAACAATCGAATAGCTTTTCCAAGATCAGTCTGATTGTTGAAGGTTCAATCAATATGTTTTTTCTCTTGAACTCATCGTTACTATTTTCAGTAGACCTTGGACACCAACGAGTACGTGTATCAAAGCTCTGCTGAAACTCCTACACTTGTTGACGTTCTACGTTTCTTTTTCGACCTTTTTCAATTTTGTCTTAAATCGTTTACTTAATTCAATAACGTTTGTACCACAATAAAACATTAGACATAAAGGGAAAATAATAGCTATCAATTCGCCATTGTCATTGAAAAAATTTCGTTTTCACACAGAAAGAAAACTATATTTAATAAGAATATGTATGCATGGATTTTATTAATTGTATTTACGAGTAGTACTATTGCTCAAAATCTGAATACATTTGGTATTGGCCTTTCCAGTCATTGGTTGTATTCCAAAGAGGTATTTTATTAGAAAGAAAAATAAGTTTTACAAAATAATTTCCTTTTCATCATAGACCGAACTGTTTAATTATACGCTTTCAGAAAATTCATCCTTTGGTGTTCTCACTCATTTCTGGACAACTGGTGACCCAGGTGAGTATTTCATTGAAAATCTTTTTCAACAAATCTTTTTAATCGATGTTTTCTTCAGCAATCGATGAATCTATTTTTTCGTACTATGTCGATGAAGAAAGTGTGCCATCAATACAATTTGTAACTTATATGTTAGTTGGGGCTGGCTTCAATGATCAAACAACACCATGGGGCACGAAATGGATTGGTAAAGGAGCGAAATATGGTGGTTGGTATAATAATTTGTAAGTTTATTTTGTTTTGTTTTCGCTGATAATTTCTATTTAATTTCTAGTCGAGTTCCATTTCAAAGATCCATACGAATAACGGGTAAATTACCGTCAACAAAAAATAATCGAAAAATGATTTGGATTATATTACGTGGTACAGAAAATTTGCCGACAAATTTTTATGGTTTTCAACTTCCATCGAATGCTCGTTTAGTTCTACATAAAATTGAAAATCAAACATTTCATCCGATATCATGGGTGCCTCTTGTTGATATACCAAGCGGTCAAGGCCTTCTGTTTGCACATACATTAGCTGTTATTAGTGGCAATTTAAATTTTCTCGAAGGCTGTTATCATGCGTATACAAAATATCAAGACGAATTTCCAGGTTTAATTGTATCAACAGGCACAGAAGATTATTTTGATAGTGCTTTTTATTTTAATGCTGGACAATATCATAATGAAATATCGGGTTATACACATTATAAAGAATTATCAAATAATGTATATGAATGGTCAGCGTATCGTGTACATGATCTAGATCCAATATTTTTCACGAATGGTTTTCGATTTCATTGGCGAAATGGTGATGTTATTGATGAAAATGGATATAAATGTATTCTTAATCAAGGTGGAAGCATCGTTGGAGCACCTACTCAATCAATAGTAACATCATATACATGGACTTATATTTGGTAGAATTCGAATTATTTGTTTTATATGAAAATATTGTATTATTATATAAAAGTTTAGTGCATAAAAATAGTCTTACAATGAATATCGAATAGCTAATATTTGGTTGTCTAAATTAAAAACAAGAAAAAAAATTAAGCGCTCCTGGGTGGGCTCGAACCACCAGCCTTCCGGTTAACAGCCGAACGCGCTAACCAATTGCGCCACAAGAGCACATCAAGTTAACTTGTCGAATTAGTATTGTCTCTGGGTGATTGTACAGCATGATCTTCAAATGCATCCATGCTTTCCATAGGTGGTTCAGATTCTTCTTGTAGCCGAGCAAATTTACCGAAACCACCTTGCAATGTATGTTCAACACGATAATATTTTTTACGCCGTACAAGTATAAGTAATCCAAGAAATATAGCACCAAAAAGAGCAGCAAACAATAGAATAAAACCAATCCAACGTGTTTTTGGTGTTTGATGAGAAGTATCAGTTGATGATTCATTTGTCTAAAAAAGAAAAGTTTTTAGGAATAATCGATTCATTCGAATTGTTGTTTACTTTAGTATCATTTCTTAGAAAACTACTATCTTTTTTTGTAATAAATTTTGTATCACGACTAGTTGTTGTGCATGTTGTACGAAAATGCAATGATCGTGGTCGCACGGGATGTGTACAAAAACCATCTGTACACACCTCTCGTGCTCGACATTCAGTATCATTTGAACATACTTCCCCTGTACCATTATATTGTGCATTGATCAGTATGTAAACATCTGTTGCGTGAATCTCTCCATTGAGTAAAGCTCGAAATAGTGATGTCATGTTTTTATGATATATCCGGTTAACAGTGATCCCTTCGCCATAAACGAAACCATCCGGTCCTTTTAGTTGGCCCAGTTTTTTAACAATAGCGTCAAGTAATTCAGGAAAAAAACCGGTAGGAGGATTCACATTATAATCTCCATCATGTCCTCCCATATCCATTGGTCCTAAACCACCGATTAATAATTTTTTTGTCTCAAATAATATTTTACGTAGAAAACCGGTTGTATCATTCCGGTTTGGAACAGGTAGTTGAGTATCTTGAAGGCACGTAAAAACACGAATTTGATTTGTTTTATTATTTTTACTGAGTAAGGTTTCATCTTTATCTTCTCTTTGTATATCAGCGATAGCAGCGTTGAGTGCATCAAATAGATCATTGCTAGAATCATTTTTTAGTCCATAAGGTGATGTTATATTGTTATAATCAGGCGCAAGAAGCATTGCTTGTGGGGAGACAATTAATGATGAGAATACATGATAGTTTGGTGCTAGATCTTGCGCTAATACACCTGTGGTAACACCAGCTAGAAGAGAAACACAGAATTCTTCAATCTTAAGAATCAAATAATAAAATATATTTCACACCAATAATTGTTTCATTCTCAACACATTTTAACATATCATTTTTCTTGTCGAAAAACATATTTTTAGTATTTGTTGGAAGATACCGTTTGACAACTTCATAATTAGCGGCTGAAAGAAATCCAACTGGATACTGAACTGACGTATTCGTTTCAAATATGCTGAGGAATTCATCCAGATTTGTTATATCACATTGAACACATGACAAGGTAAATGAAATAATCGATAATGACACATATATTAGATGCATATTGGAATAATTAATCTGAAAAGAAAAGCAAACTCAAATATAAGCTATTAACAAGACGTTTTTGCGCAATGCAGAAAAAGAAAAAGAATAAATACACATAGAAAACAACAGCAACTGATGACCGCGAGTAAAACTTTTACAGACAAAACAAATAAATAATAAATATATATTTCGGTTTGCTCTTTTAGTTAAGAAATAGAAATTTCGCATTGAGACTAACGAACAAGACAAAATATTTTTTGTTTATCTAGATATAAATCCAATTAAAATAATAAATAATAAAACTGATACAATAACACCAATAAGTATGAGTCTAAATTTTAAACTACGTTGTTTATGTTCGACAGCTTTAGATAGATGCTTGTTGCCTTGTTCAATTTGAACAACGGTATTTTCGATATTATACTCGATCTGATCAAGAATAGTTCCCTAAGTAGAATATTCAGTAGAAATTTCATTTTGTTAAATTCTTCAATTTTACTTGATTAGAAACGAGTGCTGCTACGTCTCGAAAAATTTCATTAACATCTTCAATGGATCTTAGAACTTCACGGATTTCTTTGTCGCGTTTTTCTAGCAGCTCAACATTTTGTGAGGTCAGTTGTAATTGATCTTCGGAAGTTAACTAAATACGAAGATAAAATCGAAAAAACAAAACGCACTTGCGTTATTCTTACAGATATCTGATCGAAATTATTATCCGGGTCATCTTGATCACCAAATGGATTGGAATGCATATCGATTTCAAGATCAGGCATAATACGATTGAAATTTTCTTTTCGAGATTTCAATTCTAAACGAATAAAACACAACAGAAGATGCAAAGTCAAGATTAAAAAGAAAAAGCGTCTACCAAATGAAAATTCTTCTTTTTCATGCAATTTGGGGATATTTAATCGTTATTGAAACAATCCAGAGACAAACAAAATGTCTCCCTGTTTATGAAACACACTACATCTTGCGTGAAAGTTTTCTGCAAATGCATGAAGACTAAGTTGAAATAATTATTTTCAGAAAGAAGCGCAACATGGTTTTTCTATTGTGCACGATGTCTGGCAAGCTCATTGCATTGAATGTTTCATTAAAGCTAAGATAGTTCTGAGTTTATTTTCATGCAACGCTCTATCGATGAGTATAATCGGATTAATACAATGTGATGAAGCCTTTTTTCTTAATGGAATCTTTGAGAAAAATAAAATATTTTAGATTCAAAAGATCTATGTACCATGTCCATGATGACATTTGTCGTTTATCTTTTGTTTTCCTCCGTGTTCATACATGGGATATCTTCTATGGAAGACTTGTCCTGTTTGGACCAGGAGTTTCAACGTTTTACTTCTATCTTTCGCTTATGGACTATCAAAAACTCGGTCAACTAAAGTCACATTTTCTCAATGAATCTTAAAAATCATCGAGGTCCTTCCAAGCTCTATTGACCTTCAAATATACCTACTGTGTGAAATTGATACTTGTATTGTATTCCATTACAAATCGTATATGGCAATGTTGACGGTGTCAAATGTACATGAAAAATTCCGAAGTCATTCTAAGCAAGGCATGCTGCAGATATATTATTCTGCTACTAGCAAAGACGGTTATATCTCAATAATTAGATACAATCATAAATGAATCTTCTCATCTCTCAACTACGATGCGACATCACAGGAGCGAATTCATTTGATTTTTCTGCTGTAAAAGTTATTAATGAAAAACAGGATCGTATACTTTTTCTAACTATATGTTTAGAATTTTCCACTAGTTTACAGTTGGTTAATTCTTCTTTTCATAAGCGGAAAATGACGTCGATGAAAGCGCCATTGCAGTTTTCATCTCTTTTTTTGGTGATTTCTATTCAAAATACGCGCAAATTGTTGAAGTTCGATAAAATAAAATATTAGAATAAGCTGAAGCTCAAATAAGTAAGAAGTTATGCAAGTTTTCTTAAAAATGACTTTTTACGTAGAAGTCTATTTGCTGGAAATTGATTTTTCAAAATTCATTCTTTTAGATGCAATAGGTGTTTCTATTTTTCCTATAAACTGTATATAAATCTGAAATTCAATTGTCCATTAATTATAACTCGATAGAAATTTTCTGCAAGGTTCTAATTTAAAAACCAAATACTTACTGTGAAGATAGGTCGATTGACATTTGCGAAATCTAATAGTTAAATCTTGTAAAGCACTTGCCGTAGCTTGAACTACATTAGAAGCTAATCGTTTATCGTATACATTAACCTGTGATTTATTGGCTTGATTTGAAAGTTGTTGAACAGATGCGTGACATCCGTTTAACATCTAATTGAAACATTAAAGAGAAAGACAGAAGTCGTTCATAAGAAATTATTTTCTAAATATAAGAAATTCTTACGGCAGTGATATCTTTTGTGAGTGATTCAATTTCTTTTTCTTCACTTGAATTTTCATCGAAATCAGGTCTTGTCAGATGTTTATCATGTAATTGTTGCAGCCTTTTCACTAGAAAATAAGACTAGGACTTTGTTTTCTAGTTTATTAACTTACTTCTGCTCCGCACTTGGTCGAGTTGTAATTGTATTCGACGTTGTGAATCCATCCTAAATTTTATGAATTATATAAAAAACAAGAAAGAATAGTGCAGAGGTAAATACCATGATGGTGGAATATTTTTTTCGAATTGTACAATTTCTTCATCGTCGTTTTGAATTAATGCTGTTCGATCATCGTTTGACTAGACAAATTAAGAGAATATATATTTTATCTTTCAGTTAACATTCTATTTAAGTCTTATACTAGAAAAACTACATTTAACGAGAAACAATCTCTTAAATTAATAACGGTGATATATTTTAATAGATGTCTTTCTCGTGAATGTGATCTTAAGATTCTTGCATCTTTTTGCGCCGTAGATAAGAGTGTCTTATCCACGCACACAAACTCATTACACTTCGAGTTATGAAGCTGGATATTGCTTTATTTGGTGAAGAGGTTCGAACAGGGCAAAGATATCTATTTATATAGTTGTTTTTGCTTCAACATCACCACAAAAATGTGTTGGAATATGATAATCATCATTCTAATGGATGAAAACAATCTACGACGAGATTACTCTTTGCAATTTAAACTTTTTCTATCAAGTGTTGTGTGTAAACATGAAAAATGATCGATTTATCTATCTGTTAGTAAAATTAATCAAGACATATACGATTGTATTTCAAGTAATACCAACAGCTAAGAGAAAATCAGTTTGTCGAGAGTCTTCCGATCTTATAATACAATCAAGATATTTGGCAACTACTGCGACAAAGTGTTCAATTACTGGTTACAGTCAATTTAATCGATAATTCTATGAATTCGAAATTAACATGCTTCATAGATGATCCGTATAAATAATATTTTGATTATTTATTTCCTTCCGTAGGATAGCAATTGTTCTACCTAGGAGTTTAAACAGTTAATTTTCTTGCTGTTAAAAATACTTTCGAAAATCGTCCTCCGATATTGCCAACGACAACTTGAATTAAGAAAAAAAAATAATTTGGCAGTTTAAGGCTGAATATATACGAAGAACTTTGCCTAGGAAAAATATTTAAAGCCAATAGTTTAGAGGGCATCTATATGTGTGATAGCTTCAAAAGTCAGGTTTTCCTAACAGGTTGATACGAACAACGGAAATTCATAAGACGCAATAACTTGTAATTAATAGTGTATTTTCCAATTTATTGATTCAGCTTACTCTATCGTCCATATGGAAATTTCGATCGCGCACAGCGCGACTTCGAAATTCCAAAAAGTTGGATGTTAAATTACGGCTTGTCATTGGATCTTAGGTTTTTTAAACATCTAGAAAAATAAAAGAGCGAAATACAGTTAACATTCATCTCTGAAAAAAATCAAGACGAAAGTTGTTATGCATTGACAGTTTAGCGAACATATATGCTAATAATAATCAAAATCGATGCTTATTAGAAGCGGACGTCTTTCAAGAAACATCAATTTCTTGATTCTTTTTTAACATATCCTTGAATCATCATTGCATTGAATGATTTCTACACGTGGTTGCATTTGAAAATAGACGATCGTCTTATTCTGACTGTATAGCGATACATATATATATATATACGTGACACCTACAGATAAAAGTAATTGATGAGGAAACAGAACTATGTATTTGTCGACATAACGAAAAAACAGAATTTTTTTTTGAAGTATAAAAAAAACATATGGTATGTTTAAAGTAGAAGCTCAAAGTACCTTACGCTTGTGTTCTTTCAGAATTATACAAATCATACAGTGAAAAAGCACAGATATTTACCTTTCAATAGTTCGATAAATCGCCCTGTTTTATGTCGATAACAGAACGTGAAAAAAAACATCGATTATGACTTCTTTTTATTGTAAGCAAATATAATAGTCAGAGTGTGTCGATCGCAAGAAAAAAGCAATTAAGTGAAAATATAGATAACGATTTGTCAGAGTTTCTGGATCGGTCTAGTAGATATTATTGTAACAATAAAATCTCGAAAGTCCATCATATAGAAGTGTTTCTATTACTATGGTTATTCAGTTTAAATTGAAATAGCACTTACGAATGCCTACAAACAAAATCAGTTTTATTTATGATGTAAGTTACTGAAAATGTATTTTTATCAAGAACAAAACAGCTTTCTACCTAGTATTCATAATACTAATATATTAGAACTCGCATTCTTTGACAAAAAGAACAAGAATGTTTTCGCATTTTTCTTCGTCACATGATCCGAATATTATTTAATAAAAAAATTTATGTCAGGCGATGTTCTGTTGACAATCGCATACTAAAACAATCTCAGGTATCTATAAAAACTAACAATAATATTTATAAAAATCAAAGCTGGGTTGTTGAAGAGATAATCTCAACATGAAACGTTTCTTCGTAACATTGTCTCTATAACGTGATGGAATTTATACACTGGCTTCCGATTGCACTTTTTTTTAAATATAGGAATCCTAAGAGGATCAAGATCGTCAAAAATATAGGATTTTTGATAAAAAATGACAAAAATATAGGATGTTTTAAACATAGTTTCTGTTGAACTGTTTTGCTGTTTTTTAACTGCTCTGCTTGAAAATCGTTTTAATGAAACTGTTATAAACAGTTCAACCGTAGCCAAGATCCTTATGTAATTTTTTCTACTGAAATGAGTCACTAATTCGAGGATCATTATAAAAGTTGTCTCAAATCGATAAATAACAATAAAGTAGATCATAAGCTTTGAAAAAAAAATACATGAAAAAGACAAATACTATTCTCATAAACTAAAAGAGACGTTTCAGATTACGGACATGACTTTCCAAAAAATCTCAACCTAATTTTATTGTCCTGATAATCAGCATTCATTGCTTATTATTTTCCACAAGTTTATTTTGTATTTTATCGTAACTCAATTTTTTCTGGTAATAAATAAGTGTAAATGAAAATGCATATACACAGGATGGTGTAAAATTTCACGAGCTTTCAGAAGATGTCGTTACTTTAAAAAAAATATGCTCTTTTGGTAACAGTATCCTGAAAATACAGAGTGAAACTTATTTTTTCCACGGGTATATATATACAGCTTTTATATCTAACTAAAACTTCACTAAAAACCCGAAACTAGCACATGATCATTTTGTGAATGTTTTTTCTTTTGGACTATTTTGTATTTTGTACTTTGTATTAAACAATTTCTCAATCAGCCCACTAAATAGGCGAAAGGAAAAATACTATTTAAAACAAATGTCACTATAATACAAGAATTTGCCCAAAACAAATGATAATACACATTAAAAGTTTTTTTCGTCTAAAGACAGTAGCAAAATGAAGAGGTTTTTGGAAATTTTCTACTTTCTTCAATAAAATATAGGACGAAAATAGGAAGTTTTTGAAAATAGAGGAAATGTAGGTCGAATCGCCGCCCAGATAATTTTTACGTCCTACACTATATATTTTGAAGAGAAAAAATACGTAACATAATGAGACACGAGTTCCCACAAGTAGTAGATCTGACTTTTTTGCCAATAGATATCAAGACCTCGCCATTCGAACCCTCACAATAGTTTAATGCAGCCGATTGTTTTTAATCAGATCCATTTGAAGAAAGTCAACTGTAACAATAGCGTACATAAAATCCTTTACAAGTCCAAGAATTGGCTATTGCCGATACGATCTTCATCAGATTTTGTCAATCGTCCATTTTTTTTTATCATCTGAAGTACAAAAAATTATATTGCGTGATTTTGCCAGATCAATTCAATTATTCACATAAATAAACAATAAGAAGAAGAAGAATTACAATAAAAAAAATAAAGTATTGTCATCGCTAACGGCGTTATATATATCCTCATTCTATCATAAAGTGCAAGAAAAAAATGAAAGCACAAAGCAACAGTGAAAATCAAATTATTATTTTGTTGAAGCATTCAAATTTGGATCACTATGAAATTTATATGTTCCAAAAAGATGCGAAAGCAATGGCGCTTCATTAGGTTTGTGAATCCGTGTTGATTTTATTCGAACACTTCGAGATGGGATTATCTGTTTTTTCATTCGTTGATCATTGCCATTATTTACACTTGCAATCATTTGTGTACGACAGTGATCTTCGAATTTTTTATTGGTTAATGGTGAAATATTAGTAGAAAGATTTATGTTAGATGATCGATAAATGCAATCCGTACTTGTATTTACAGACATTGAGTTCATTGACTTGGACAGATCATGTTCAGATGATTGATTAGAAAGATTGATTTTGGGAAATTCTGTAAAGGATAAAAAAAAGTGAAGTGAAGAATAGAACAAAAGAACAGTTCATAAATACCAATTTTAGGCAGTTCAATAAACTCATCGGGTGTTTCGGCACCGACACCAGGCTCACGTAGAGGAAGTTGTAATAAAATTTGATTTTTACGTTTCGTATGAATCTAAAGAATAAACGAAATGAATTATAACATGTAAGTAGAAGATCAGTTTTTCGTAAAATGACTGTAGTTTACTAAAGATAGATCTCGAAAGCGTCTTATTTCGTTTAGACAATTCTAAATTAGTTGGTTTCTCAAAATTTTAATATCTTACTTCATCAGATATTTGTTCAAGACTGTTCAATGCTGCACGATATGTTCTTTTGGCTTTAATTATTGCGTTCTGTACATCTTCAATACGACATTTTTGATTCTGAAACCGAAAAAATTCAATTTTTTTTCACTACTAAATGTGCTCTTTTTTTACTTTAAGTTCGTTTTCTGCTTTAAATTTTGCATCGAAGTAAGGTCTATAAATAAGCAAGTAATAACTCATATTACGGTTTTTTCTTGTGTCCTACTTCGATTTGATGATCACTCTTGTTAATGAATGGCGAAGTTTTATTCTTTGTTGTTCGTATTCTTGATAAAGTTTCGATTTTTCTTCATGTATTTGTTCATAACGCATTTTGTCTTGTTCTATTTGCGTTACCTTACATAATAAGATTACTTATATTTGATTTTTTTGTTGCAACCATATTTTACCTTCATGGTTAGATGGTTCATACATTCTTGCCACGTTGCATTATCTTCTGATTTGGATAATTGATTTTCTGCAGCAGCTAAATTTTCTTTTGCTACACAATGTAATTCAACAGAATTTTGATATTCTTGAGCAGCTCGTCCAGTCTCTAATCGTGCCTAATAGAAAATCATGATATGTTGTATGAAAAGCGAACAGAAGAACACAGTTCGTCAGTAAAATAGATGAGACGATCATTTTATAGCCTAATGGATGTAAGAAGTAACGTTTACCAACAACCAGTTAAGCGTAGAAATAGAAGAGTATGTTAGCATGATTGATGTCTTTTTTTTCTTTGTTTCCTTGTAATAAATAGTGTAAATCGTACGAACCATATGTAGATTGGAATACTTTTTTGTTCTGCTTTCTTTCGACTGACTGCAGGTTACTGTCGATGAGTAAAAAATAGGAGACTTCTTACAAGTTACTAGGGAATATGAAAGTGACGTATCGTACGCAGGGTTCGTGGAGAAGAAATTGTACAAGCGAAGCAGAATACAAACGGCCTTGTCAAAGCAAAGGCTGAGAACTACTGTGTTATATTAGGTTAAACTAGAGAATATCGATAGAGAAGAGTACATTTTTAATGATATAATTAAGATTAGATCTATTGACTCTATATCATGCAGAGAGTGAAAAATATTATTGTGTATGAAAACTAGAGCTGATGTTAACATTTACAAGACTTAGTTTGAGCTACAATGAAATTAAAAATATTCGAAAGTTTAGCTTCAACAACTACTGATCATTTTTTTAGCGGGAGTCTCGTGCAAAGAGGGTAATGAGTTATCGCTTCTGTTAACCGTAAGGTGACATATATTTTTATGCTTAGCAAACTGATTGCCTAGGTTCGATCCAAAAGGATAGCGTCAATATTCTATAACTTGTAGTATTTAGTCAAATACTGCAACAACAACAACTGTGTGATTACTTATTTACCTATTTCATGCTAATAACAAATACAAATCCTATTGCTAGACTGTTCTCCGAGGTCTGCCGCCAGCTTTCTTGTCACGCTTTGAACCTCCAACTCATTAGTTAAAAGACAAATTCAGCTGACTGAAAATGAATTTTAACTGTTCTTCTAAGAGTTAGTCCATAATCACGATTTTTCTCTTCAGAAACAAAAACCATAGAATGCACAAGCCACTTCAGTCGAGTCATGCTTCAGCTATGTTCTAAAAATAAGTCAAGTCTAGCATACAGCTTCAATACAATAGATCTCGCGCATACTAATCGAAGTTCAAATCAAATGATTTGTATTACACATTGATCATATTGTTAATTAAATCAGTGATCATTTCATCTAGTTTACTGGCCATTTTAACAAATGCTAACCTGTTCAGCTTGTTGAACAGCATCATAATATGGTCTTCCGCGTTCGACACAACGGCCAAGTGTTTTAGCTAGATTAGCTAAACGTTGTTTACAATGGCTAAAACTTATTTGAAATAATTTTTGAGCATTCTAAAATTAGATGTTCAATAATCAAACAAATCAATAGTAAAAGCGCTTACATCTAATTGACTTTCAAGATTATTTATTTCACTGGTTGCAGCATTAGCACGTTCCAATTCAATCTAGACCAAAAACGAAATATTCAAAAGTACTATTCAATAAGATTTTAGCTAAATTGACTATACTTGTATTCGAGGATCGAGTGGTTCATCGTTAGCTTCATTTGAATGAACATTATCACTTTCAATTATTTTAGACGAATCCGACATACATGTGATTGAAATAGTAATAACAAAATTTACATATAAAACTACAAGTATCTAAAAGAAATCAAACGAATGGATGTATATTATAATGGGTATATATTATCAAAAGACAAGACAAATCCGTCTATACTAGAGAGAAAAATGAAGAAAAGTTTTTTATTTAAGCAATAGGCCATTTCCATTGGTTAGCTGGTGCTTGTGCAACAAGTGGTTCCCACACATGATTTAAAGCCATTCGACGTACACACATAAGTTCATTTTCAGCCTAGAAATTTGAAAAAAAAACACAAATTATTTTATTAATTTTGATTTGATATTATTCCAAACACAATAGTTACTTGTACAATGACTTCCTCGATTTGCCCACAATTGATTTTACGTTCGAGACGTGCGATGTTAGGCTCCTATTATTAAATAGACTGTAGTTTTAAAAAGAAATATTTTTATTTTAATATACATTTTCGACATGTTCAAGACGTGAGCTAATAACATCTTCAGTAAATTTGCGATAGGCTGCTGCTTCAGGTAATTTTTTAAGATCACGTAAGATTTTTCCGTAGAGAAGTTTCAATGACTATTTGAAAGAGAAAATTTTATATTCATTATAATTAATTGTTAATTATATACATAATGTGGATCTTTAGAAACAACCAATCCAGTAATATTCGTTGTCTAGAAAAAAAAGAAAATAATACTTAAATGAAAAAGATTTAAGTTGAATTTACATACTGCTTTTAAGATTTTCGAAGCCATGAAAGAAAGAAATCAATCTAAAATGAATTCATAGGATTAGAATGTTCAAAATATTACACAATTCTTTTTCGGAACTCATTGAAACTTAGATAAATTGTTGACAGCCAGTGATCTAACGATGAGTAATAGATATTATTATCAAAAGGAATTATTTATTTATAAATGTTAAATATAAAAACAATATTTAAACAATTGTATATCAATTTTTCGAATACATTATGATAATCTCATTAGTCGTTACAATTTTTTTTTACAAGAAATAGTCATTCTATACAATTATATTTTGAATATTATTTTGAGACAAAGGCGACAAATATAAAATAGGTGGCACCGCTAGTTTTTATATCCGTATTTCCATATTTCATCTGGGTTAAAATAATAAAGATCAAAGAATTTTATGATTTAATTAATATAATGTTTTTAAAACAGTTTAGGTGGAGCTTCAAGAGATGGCGCTATATAATGAATTTAATTACAATATATTTGGAAACATGAGAGAAAGGTTGTTACTATGAAAGGAATATGTTCGATGTAAATAATGCAAATGTAATTAAGAGCGTAACTTGAAGAAATATAGTCTCTCTATGTCAACCATAAGAAATTCAAATTTCATCATCGTAAACAATAAGAACAATACGAAACCATTGACCTTTTGCAGTAGACAATTTTATTCATCTTATTTTACTGTTCCAATAATATTGATTAAGTTTTACAACTTTCAGCATCGTATTTTTTTTCTATCTGTGTAATTTAAGAGTTATAAACAAATAATAGGAATTAAAAAAATAATTTAATGAAGGAAAGTCAATGGTTGGTTTTCATTCATGGACAATTTTGTAATTTTTATCCTAACAGTCTCATCGTAGGTAATTATCGTAAGACGACACTGTACAGTCAAAAGAAAAACTTAATTAGAGGATTTTATTGATAAGTTGTTTATCCTTATGACACAGCACGAAAGGTGGACGGTCTCTTTGTTTCATGCAACGGCATGATTTAAAGTATAAAGCGATGATTTTGTAATGAAGTTGGAGAGTAAAGGTAATAATTAATACACTGTTCACATGAAACAAACATTCAAAACTTTTATAAATTTTTTGTTACGTCGGCATAAAGAGAATTCATAACTAATTCATGAAGAATGCATGTTTTCAATCAGGAAGAGCCATTCTAGATCAAAGATAATATCAAGTACAAGAAAATTTCTTAAAAATTTATCATTTGATTTAAGTGCTGAACAACCTTCAGCTAACATGCAAAAGAAATTAGACAATACGAAAAACATGTATTGGTGAAGATGATGATTAATATCAATAGTTGTCTCTACTTCAGGTAGAAAGTAGATAAGATTTTGTAATAGATATTGGAAAATATTACTTGAGACAAGTTATGTATTTAGTACCCTCAACTGGGTCAAATAGATATCAATAAAAGGATCGATGACAAGTCGATTAGAGTGTATAGAGGAGATGACTTTGGCCAATCGGTTTACTTTAGTAATAATAAAGAATTGAGACTGAGAACATCGGTTTTACTTTCATGAATGTGGCAAAGCGTTTAGCATTTCAATTTGGGCCGTTAATTATTTTTTATAAGTACATTTTCAATGATGCCAACATGACATGAGGGTGTGAGCAACATTAATTGAAACAATTTTCTTTCACATACATGTATATCATTAGCATATGCTCTATTTGATAGAAGTATATGAAGAAAAAAAGTGAAACTAGACTTTTGATCACGAAAAAAAGAGACAAATAATCACGAAATTTATTTTGAATAAATAGATAGTGCAAAGCAGAGGCCAAAACAGGCCGCGCGTTCGAGNCTGTTCAGAAAAGCGAGGTCTATGCCTATGATAGGCCGGTTACCTCCAGGTATAAAAGTACACTCGATGCTCTGTATGTACCTCTAGTTTCTAGTCTCTCATCATTATTCCATTAGCTTCAAAAACGTTGACAGACCCACAGACCTCGAACGCGCGGCCTGTTTTGGCCTCTGCTTTGCACTATCTATTTATTCAAAATAAATTTCGTGATTATTTGTCTCTTTTTTTCGTGATCAAAAATATTCATATCCAAAAACAAACTATTTAAAATCTCGACTTGATTCTATAATGAGATCTTTTTGACATCTTGCAGTGCCAAATGAACTTTTGAAAAGAATAGAGTTGTTTCTGGCTAATAAACAATATTCAATGTAATTACACATTTGGATTGTTTTTCTTTATAGTAATAATAAATCGATAGTTGCAACATATAATATCAAATGAAAATGATTACTAGCATCAACACGATGATTTCTATTTGCTTCAAATTCCTATTTTTAAAAAGAATACTAGTGGCACGATTAGACAGTGCTTACAGCGCACTCTATCAGTAATACGCCGTTGCCGAAAAGATATTTGATGTAGCTATAATTTTTAAAAGAATAAATTGCAATTTTTAATAATCTAATTTTAAATGTTATAGTCTAAACGAAATTATTGATGTTAATGAACGTTTCTATGAATGTGAAGTCTACAATGGTTGGTATGTGTACGTTGATTTTGTATACTAAAAAATCAAGACAACGAAGACCTGTTTTTCACGTATACTAGATGTCGTCAGCCAAAGCTAAAGGTGGTCGATTATCGACTCAAAATGTTGATTCGCCTGGTATCCGAAAAATTCATAGTCGTCATACATGGGTGAAACCTCTCTAGTTTAATTTTTTTCCAACTTTAACTTTATTATTCAAAATGAAATCTTTAGAAATTAGAAAGTATCAGTCATGGTAAAGGACAACCAGTATCACGAAAAGCTGTTCACTATGTCATAGATGAAGTTGGGAAACGAAAGGAAAAATTTCATTGTAAGCATTTAAAGCAGTGAATTGGTGCTAGTTTATGCGAAACTATTTTAGTTTCAAAACAAGAAATTGAATCACTTTGTACAATATTTCGTCATTTGACTAAAAGTGGCGATAAAGGTAAAGCATAAAGGAAACTTTTTGTATTACTATGTAGCTATTTTAATTTAGAAAAAATTGATCGTAATCGTTTCCGTGACATTCTACATAATACATTCGATATGACTGATGATATTCTAATGGATCGAGGTAATTCAATAAAATGGAGGAAAGAACCTTTTTCTAATCAATTTGAATTTTGCCAATTAGTCTTCAAAGCATTCGATCGGGACAACGATGGGCAAGTCAGCATGCTTGAATGGGTTGTTGGACTTAATACATATTTACGTGGAACGCTAGATGAAAAAATTGCTTGTGAGCTAGAGAACAAGAGAAATCATGAAACTATTGTTTATTGTTTATTTTGTTAGTCGCTTTTACTTGTTATTCGCTTAAAGGTGAAAAACATATAACCCGTGAAGAAATCTTTCAACTACTTAAAAGCAGTGTTCTTAAGGTAAATGAAATATTTATTCAAGCAATAATATAACTGTCTCTCTTTGTATTTAAATAGCAAGCTGGCGATGAAGATCCAGATGAAAGTATCAAAGAGCTAGTTGAAATTACACTTAAAAAAATGGACAAAGATCACGACAATCGTTTGGGTGATAATGATTTTTCGCAATCAGTTCGTGAAGATCCTCTTCTACTTTCGTGCTTTGGTCAAGTATTTGCGAATGCAAGAGTAAGTATTCAGTAGAATAAAAATAAATTCTATAAAAAAAATTATAATTTTCTTCAGATAGTCGAAGCATTTCTACATTTTTTTTCTGAAAATACTCATGTTAAATCGTATAGTTGTCAGAAAGAGAAAGAGACGACAGTAGTAGACGACAATTAGCTTGCTTAATCACACTTGTATAGAATTGCATGATGCATGGCGAAATATAAATTTTATTTTTTTCTTCTCAAAATTATATAAACGTTTTTTTTGTTGCGATATTCATTTAGAGAAAAGCTGATTTTGAACGAATACTTGAACATATGTCTGAACAAGTTGTATTCGGTCAAACGTTTACACAACAACAATTAGCAGAAATGTTTGATTATTAATCTTATTCTCAGCCGAATTTTTTTATATTCTTTTTTTAATATCATCTTATCCGTTTCTAATATATTTCAAATAAATTCAACCTATTGAACGTGTGCATGACATTAAGCACGAGTTCACAAACTTTACATACGTAGATTAATATAAACATGATTGTATCTGAGCGCTTGAATAAAAACCGGAACATTTTAAAATATATCTTATATCATATAAGGAAATGATCATCGCTCATTGAATTAGTCAAGTAGAACGTAAATGCTAAATCAGTGTTTTCAATAGGTGTGCCAAGCAGAAGTAACATGTAAGGAATGGAGTTGTTTCATGTCTCTTACGAAAATCACTTTCTGCCTATGGGTATTAGAGCTTCATGGGGAAAATCAAGTGATCAATCATTGGGCACAACAAGTTTTGTCATTTTAATATATATGCGGAAGTAGACTATTTGAAGTATGCCTACAACTTATCGTTTCCACTGTATTACTATTTTCATCGATCGCTTGAATTGTTGTAGGCGTTACACAAATTTCGAGTGAATTCAACATGCTCATGGCATCGTTAACGAAACAAATGACATTTGCGCAAGCCGCAATCACAATAGATGCTACTGATTTTGTTTTGTAATTTTACGTTAGCTTGGATCGATTGCATGATGATCGAGTTCTTCGGTAAGAAAAAATAAATAGCTTTTCCAGTCGACATATCGAAGTTAAAGAAAAGCCTGATTGTGTAACAGACTTTTTGTTGATTACTCGTACTCTTCTTAGATTCGGAATTCTCGAGTGCAGTTTTGCTTCGTGATATTACGGTAAGAATTGGTCAAATCGATCTAATTCTCAGCCGTTTTCTCATGTACTACGTTCGATGGAGTTGAAAATGTTTTACAGGCAATGAATGTTATTTGTCTGGGTACTTTGTTAAGTGTCCTTCTATTTATTTTGTTGCAATGAAGAAACCAACAAAGTGCACGTACCCTAAAAAAGACTTATAATTTAATCGAACC